GGTACTCTGAAGTCATATGCTCTTTATCGTCGAACGAGACGTTGATGCTTTCCATGACAGTCTTGGTTCGTTGGTTGAAGACCTTGTAGGCCTTGGCTTGTGTAGAATAACCAAGAAACTTGCCTTCTTCGACCTTCTTATCAAACATGCCAAGCTGATCACGGTCATTCAAGATGAAGCATCTTCAACCAAAGATGTGCAAAAATTTAGCATTAGTCTTTCTTTGGTTAATTAGTTCATAAGGCGTCTTTATGTGCCTCTTTACCACCGTTGCTCTGTTTTAAATGAAGCAAGCAGTTGAAATGGCTTCGGCCCAAAAGTGGGTTGGAAGACCAGAGTCTGCGAGCATTGTTCTTCCAGCCTCAACTAATGTGCAATTCTTTCTTTCTACAACACCATTTTGTTGTGGTATTCTTGCAGCAGAGAAGTTTTGAGATATGCCCTCCTTGTCCAAGTACGCATCTATTTTTGCATTCTTGAACTCAGTTCCTTTATCACTTCTCAGCTTTTGAATTTTGCTCTGTAGAAGAACTTGAATCTTTGTGATCAGCTTGATCAGCAGCTCTGGGACATCTGACTTCTGCCTTACAAACTCAATTCAAGTATATCGTGAGAATTCATCAATAAGCACAAGGATACACTTCTTGCCAGACAGACTCTGCACAGAAATTGGACCACAGAGATCCACACAAAGCATATGCAGAGCTCTAACGCAGAACACATGAATCTTTGTTTTGTGGGATTCTCTTTTGAGCTTTCCCATTTCACAATTAGGACAGAGATGGTCCTTCTCGAACTTTATGCCTGGAAGTCCGTCAACCAGATTATTCTTGACAAGCTTCTCTATATATTGAAAATTTAAATGAGACAGCTTGTGATGCCAGAGCCAGGCTTCTTCACACTTACGAGATACGAGACAAAGAGTCTCTAAATGATATCTTGGTGAGAAGTTCATAAGGTATATATTACCCTTACGTTTGGCTCTTAGCAACTCCTGACCTGATTATGACACGATAGAACAAGCTTCTTTTTGGAACTTGGCATTGTAACCAGAATCACAAAGTTGACTTATGCTCAAAAGATTATGTTTAAGCCCAGAGACATATCCAACCTTAGAGACAGAAACCTTACCTTGGTGAAGATCTCCATATCCCTTGATTTCTTCTTGCATATTATCCCCAAAGGTTACTGTTAGCTCTCATTTCACTTAATGTAAAAGTATGGAAAAAGTAAATACTGCAAATGTTGACAGAAGAGGTTCCACCACAGAAGACCATAGAGGACCAACAACAGAAGGTGTTCTATCGTACAAGTGAAGTGTGACAGAACCTCTGTTGTCTACCACAGTGTAACACCCTGAATTTCATCAAGAGAGATGTTACGTAATCTGAAACATTTCCTTAATAAATACACCAAAGTAATGGCTAATTTAAAACCATTTAAACTATTACAGCGGAAGTCTTTGAATCATCAAAATCTAACTTAAGTTCTAACCCACCTTCTCTTGGGGTTAAGTTACAAAAGATCATTCCAGCGCATCTTAGACAAAAGACTAACATGAGATGATAATGAGCAACTCTCTAAGCATGTCCCTTGCCTTTATCTGTCCTCGAACTACCTGGGACTGAGATGCATACTATAGTTAGCTTATAAAGCTCAGTGAGTTCATGGTTTTCGTGTATAAAATCATTGTACGTACATTTCAACTTGTAAACTTTGTACCACGTAGCATGCAATTTCTGAAAACATGCAACATTGAAAGAAATGAGATCTCATAAATTATCTGTCTGGAATGGGTCATTTAGTCATAAACACACCCTGGGTTGATACTTCATTCTCGATTGATTATCCACTTGTCCGGTTACTGTTTCATACTGGTCGTGACTTATTAGTCACCAACACGCCTTGGGTATCAAAATCTTAACTTATCACCCACTTGTCTGGGTAGTGTTTTATACTGGTCGTGACTCACTGGTCCAATGCCCACCCTTAAATCATCAAACTTTGGTATGGAAAAACATGCTAGAGTTTTCGAAAACTGATTAAACACATAGCATGCAACTGATCATAAAACGTCATACATGTAAAACATATCATGTATGTAAACTTAAAACATCATGCATTTGTACCATCATCATATAAATCGTATAGTGCTTGAAAATAAGTTTATACATAGATATGCATCCCATTGTAAGTCTCATGAAGACTCACCTGATAACGTMGATTGCTTACTTAACGGTGCTGACTGGTAACCTACAATTTATAATAACGAATAGTACATAAATAATAAATTTCTCCAAGGACTATAAAAGTCAACTTACGATCAACTATGTCGACTAGGGTTATCATTGGTCAATTATTCGCTTGTTATTTAAAAGTCTTATCAAGCCATCGGGGCTAAGGATGAAACTCTAAGGCTGCCTCTGTGCTAAGTCTTGGAGAGGGCTAGAGCCTCTGTGGTTGACCAGAGCCTCTGTGGTGTCGACCGGAGCCTCTGTGGTATCAACCAGAGCTTCTGTGGTCTCTTTCTTCCAGAGCTTATGGTCTCACGACCAGAGCCTCTGTGGTATTTACCAGAGTCTCTGTGGTTGAGCCTTGGGAAATAATTCGGTACCAAGGACCAGAGCCCCTCTGTTGTCTCTCTTACAGAGCTTCTGGTTGAACCATACTTAGAATAATAATATCATACTAAGGGCCAGAACCACTCTGTGGTCCCTCCTCCAGAGCTTTTGTCTAACACAACTTGATACAGAGCTCTCACGCAGAGTTTCACTATAACATAACTTGATACGAATTCCGTCTAACACAACTTGATACAGAGCTCTCACGCAGAGTTTCACTATAACATAACTTGATACGAAGCTCTCATGCAGAGCTTCTGGCTAACATGACACAAAGCTCTCACGTAGAGCTTCTGTCTAACGCATTTGATACAGAGCTCTCGTGCAGAGTTTCTGTGTAACATTCTCTGAGGTGGCTTCTAAGCAGAATGCGATACAACGTGTTTAACAAATGAAATCTAATCCTTGAAATCGAATCCCAAAACACAAAGTTTGGACGTGAGCCTTCTAGGGTTCTATACAGGGCCAAAGTCACGATTAAACATTGTTTAAATCATAAATTTGGTCGAGTATTTACCTCTAAACGACGGGAAGCAGGGGGGTTTCTTGCTGGTATGAACTCCGGCTTCTCTCTTTCAAGTTCAACGATTCCCTTCTTCTCTCAAAAGAATAACGACCCTAACCTGGTGCCCTCAATTTATACTCACACGATTTGGCCTATTAGTTGACCAAATTGGCAGAATCCCGAGTTTTGGGCCGGGAACTGCTCTCTTCCACAGCCTGCAACCATGCAGGTCATAGTTTCCTCTTTTGAACCAGGCACCGCCTGTTCCTCTTTTGCCTTTCTCGATCGTTGACAATAGGCCACCCTGTTGCAGGTCTGTTGCCTATTTACAAAACAGGTCCTTCTTGTTTGGACCTGCTTACACACGACCCAGTCCCTTAACTTCCGCGAATTGACAACTTTCACCCATGTCTTGACTTCTTCCTTCACTTTTGGTCCGACTTTTAAACTTATTTCAACCTTCTATTTTTATTTAATATATATATATATATATATATATATTCTTAAAATAAAATACTAATAAAGATAAATTATTTATTCCACAAATTTTTTGGTTTTACAACTCTCTCCTCCTTCATGAAATTCCGTCCTCGGAATTAGCACTTACTAAAACAACTGGGGATACTTAGATCTCATTTCTTCTTCTGGCTCCCACGTTATTTCTGCGCCTTTATGGAATTTCCGCTAAACTAGCACCAATGGTATACTTTTGTTTCTTAGTCTTTTCGTCTTCTTATCCAATATACCAATTGGTTCTTCCACATAGGCGAGTTTGTCATTAACCTCGATGTCATCTAAATCCACAATAGTCGATTCGTCAACTAAACATTTTCTCAAGTTTGACATATGAAAGGTGTTGTGAATACCACTTAATTCCTCTGGTAGTTTCAACCGATAAGCAACTGCTCCTACTCTTGCAGTTATCTCAAATGGTCCGATATACCTTGGACTTAGCTTACACTTCTTCCCAAATCTCACGACCCCCTTCCATGGCGATATCTTCAACAAAACCTTATCACCTACTTGGAATTCGAAAGGTCGACGTCTTCTATCAGCATAACTCTTTTGCCTATCTTGCGCAACCTTTAACCTTTCCTTGATCTGTACGATTTTATCAGATGTCTGTTGGACCAACTCGGGTCCAACTAGTTGCCTTTCTCCGATGTCTGCCCAACAAATTGGAGTTCTACACTTACGACCATATTATGCTTCGAATGGTGCCGCCTTGATGCTCGAATGGTAACTATTGTTATAAGCAAATTCCACCAATGGGAGGTGGTTGTCCCAACTACCTTCGAAGTCAATCATGCAAGCTCTCAACATGTCTTCTAGTGTTTGTAACGTCCTCTCACTCTGGCCATCAGTTGGAGGATGATATACGGTACTCAAGTTCAACCGCGTTCCCATTTCTTGCTGAAAACTTGACCAAAACCTCGAAGTAAACCTAGCATCTCTATCCGAGACAATGAATATTGGTACACCATGTCTCGACACGATTTCATTGACATAAAGCTGGGCCAATCTTTCTAGTGTATACTTGTCGCTGATCGGCAAGAAGTGAGCGGACTTCGTTAGTCGGTCCACAATCACCCATATGGCGTCGTGTCCCTTTACCGTTCTTGAAAGTTTGGTGACGAAATCCATTGTGATCATGTCCCAATTCCATACTGGGATCTCCATTTGTTGCAACATTCCAGACGGTTTCTGATGCTCGGTCTTCACCTTCAAGCACGTCAAACATTTCCCCACATAGCTAGCTAMTGCCCTTTTCATGCCAGGCCACCAATAGCTTTCTTTTATGTTCTTGTACATCTTATTACTACCTGGATGCATAGTATATTTAGACTTATGTGCTTCATCCATCACTACACTTCTTAGGCTCCCAAACTAGGAATCCAAACCCGACTCCCATGTCTATATATTCCATCTGGTCCAGCTGTCAAAGTCTTGATTTGTCCAATCATCCTCTCCTTCTTGATGTTTGTTTCGRGTAAAGCTTCCTTCTGGACATCCYGTATTYGGTCTAGAAGTTCCACCTTAACAYTCATCCACATGRCYTGAACYCTGATTGGTCCGTTTCTTTCCTTCCTACTAAGTGCATCGGCAACTACATTTGCCTTACCTGGATGGTAGTGGATCTCACAGTCATAATCCTTAAGTAGTTCCATCCACCTTCTTTGCCTCATATTCAACTCCTTTTGATCAAACAAGTATTTAAGGCTCTTATGATTAGTGTAGATTATGCACTTCCTACCGTACAAATAATGTCTCCATATTTTTAGTGCGAAGACGACAGCTGCTAGCTCCATGTCGTGAGTTGGGTATTTCCTCTCGTTTTCTTTCAACTGGCGTGATGCGTACGCAATGACCTTGCCCCATTGCATCAGTACACAACCTAAGCCCATTTTTGACGCATCGCTGTAAACGACAAAGTCTTCTACTCCTTCTGGTAGTGATAAAACCGGTGCAGTGCTTAGTTTCTTCTTAAGTGTCTGGAACGCTTCTTCTTGTTTCGTCCCCCAATCAAACTTAACCGACTTCTTTGTCAGCATTGTCAAGGGCGTTGCTATCTTGGAGAAATCTTGGATGAACCTTCGGTAATACCCTGCTAGGCCTAGAAAACTTCGGATCTCCGATACTGACCTTGGAGATTCCCAGTTTATAACTGCATCAATCTTAGCCGGATCCACCTTGATTCCTTCCGCGTTGACTACGTGACCGAGGAATTGTACCTCATGCAACCAAAATTCACATTTTGAGAACTTGGCGTACAATTGTTCTTTTGCTAATAACTCAAGAATCATCCTTAAATGTTGTTCATGCTCCTCTTTACTTTTCGAATAGATCAAAATGTCATCTATAATGACTATGACAAATTGATCCAAATACGATCCACAAACTCGATTCATCAAGTCCATGAATGCCGCAGGTGCGTTTGTTAACCCAAACGGCATTACTACAAATTCATAATGTCTGTATCGAGTCCTAAAAGCGGTCTTCGACACGTCCTCTTCTCGAAGCTTCAACTGATGGTAACCTGATCTCAAATTGATTTTTGAGAAACAGCTGGCTCCTTGCAACTGATCGAAAAGGTCATCGATCCTTGGCAATGGATATATGTTCTTTATCGTGATTTTGTTCAATTCCCGATAATCGATGCACATCCTCATCGTGCCATCTTTCTTCTTGACGAATAAAATCGGTGTTCCCCATGGTGACGAGCTTGGTCTGATAAACCCTTTATCTAAAAGTTCTTGCAATTGCTTCATTAGCTCTTGCATCTCTGTTGGGGATAAGCGATAAGGTGCCCTTGCGATTGGTACCGCACCTGGTACCAAATCGATTCGGAACTCTACCTGACGTTCCGGTGGTATTCCTGGTAATTCATCCGGAAATACTTCTGGGTAATCCTTCACCACTGGTACATCATGTATGGCCTTCTTTTCGAGCTTGGCATCGATGGTGTATGCCAAATAAGCCACACAACCATTCCGCAGACACTTGTTCGCCTTAATTGCATTGATCAACCCTACGCAACCCTTCTTTCGATCACCGTAAACCTGGATCGTTTCTCCTTCCAGAGTTTGAATATTGATCATCGTTTTATTGCATAGTATTTGCGCATGATTGTTGGACAGCCAATCCATCCCCAAGACTACGTCAAAACCTCCTAGGCACATTGGCATAAGCCTAACAGGGAAATCCTTCCCATCTATAACAATCGTGCATTCATCAAATACTTCGCCTACCTTACACTGACTACCGTCGGCTGTTTCTACAGTGTAGGTTTTGTCTAGTCTACAGGCACTCCTATTCAGATAGTGGCAGAAGGTAGTAGACACAAAACTACCATTCACACCCGAATCAAATAACACATGTGCATACACATTGTTGATAGGGAACATACCAGATACGACGTCGGGTGTTTCCCTGGCCTCCTCCAAAGTCATGTTGTAAGCTCGGCCGTGTCCCTTAGGTAGCTCCTTCCTATTTTCCGCTCTCTTCCCGAATCCGTTATTCACTGTCTTCCCGTGGGGTGTCGCACCATTGCGACGTTTTGGACAGTCAGGGCGCAAATGTCCTGTAGCCCCACATTCGTAACAAGTCCTTCCTTTCGGGCACTCTCGTGTGGTGTGCCCCGGTTTGTCACATTTATAGCACGTCAGGCTCCCCGCTCTGCACTCTCCCCTATGCCTCTTGTTGCATTTGTTACATGAAAGGATAGTGAATTCATCACTTCATGTTTTTGCCAGAGTCGGAGTCCATTTGGAGTTCTTGTTGAACTTGCTCAATCCTTCCCACCTTCTCTTTGCTTCTTTTCTATCACCAGTCTCTCTAGCATTGTTCTCCTCTGCCACCTTTGCCATCTCCACTGCTTGTACGAATGTGATCGGCTTAGTTATGTCCACGTAACATTTGATTTCGATTCTTAGGCCGTCCTTGAAACGACCTATCTTTCTCTCCTCGGTAGCCACCTGGTAACTGGCGAACCTCGCTTTTTCAAGAAACTCGTTAACATATTCTTGAACTGACAACGATCCTTGCTTTAATCTCAGAAATTCGGATTCTAGCTTGTTCACCTCCGTTTGCGAGCAATACTTATCCATCATCGTCTTTTTCATTTGTTCCCAAGTCATGGCAGCAATATCCTCATCACCTCTGATTGCACACTCAGACTCCCACCAATGCAATGCATAGTCCACAAAGGTTGTAGCAGCATAAGTCACCCTTTGATCTTCCGCGCATCTACAAATTTTGAAGCAGCTCTGCATCTTGGCTACCCAGTTCATCAGGCCAACTGGGCCCTCTATTCCTTTAAATTCCTTCGGCCCGGTGCCTTTGAATGTTTTAAAACTGCATCCTCTCTCTTTTGTAGTCAACTTAGTTCTCTCGATGAGCGACTCCACCTTCTCTTTATCAGACACTTCCACCCTTTCAGGGACTTGAGTGTTCTCGTGTYGAACGCWTCCTTCCTCCCCACCTTCATTATCCTTAAGTCTGTCACCCAACATTTCTTTAAGCATATTTGGCAACGTATCCCAGAGGACTTGTGCTATTTGTTCAGCCATCACTTCCTTTGTGAGAGGAATTTCTCCTCCTTGGCCCCTTTGGCTCCTACCGATAGCCAAACTAGCTGGCGCAGTTGGGGTCGTACTCAAATTAGCGGTTCGGACACTTCCACGACCTCGACTTTGGGCTCGTGTCCGTCCTTGAACTGTCGGTTGGGCTACGCCATTGATACCTCCCCCATTGCGGGCGTTCCTTGTTGATCCGCGAGAAACCATACTGACACAATAGAGTATTATTGTTTCAACAAGGTTCTAGAGTCGACTTAACATATTACACTTATGTATATACATTATACGTATACATATACATATATAGTATAATCACTATATATCAGCGAAATACATGATAAGGAATTCACGTCGCAATTGCATAATGCTCCAAAAGATATATATATATATATATATATATATATATATATATATATATTTCGTTCCAATACAATCCTGGGGAGGGAGAGGCATTACAAAATCCTATTTACTTACAAAAGATGGGATGCTTCACGGTTCTAAATACAGGTAAATGTTCCAAAAATCTATCGTAGCACTGGCTAGAAGAAAACTACCTAAACACGTACAATTAATTCTCCTACTCAAAAGATCCTTCTCTCATCCCTGATCCCATGTCTAAAACTGATTTGCAGGGTAGTAAGGGAGATAAGGGTCCCTTACCCACTCTTCAAATGATGTGGATGGCCTGGAGTGCCACCACACACTAGCCCTTGGGCCATTCTTGATGCATCAGACCCATTCGGAGAAATAACCCCTCACTACACCAGCATAGTCTACAGTCATTCTCTTATAGAAGTGAACTCTGTCTCTGATTCTAGTGCCTAATGGGTGAGCAACAATTCTCCGCTCCTGTTCAAGCACAACTTTGTCCCAAATCAGGGCATGACACTGGTCCGACAAATCCGCATTTTCTTCAATTAGCTCGATTAAGGCTCCTCCTTGTTCGACATGTGCCCGCTGAAGATTGTTCAGCCATTCATTCAGTCTAGTATTGTCATCTAACGTTCRGGTCACCCTCTCTCTTAGCCTTGTGTTCTCGCCCCTCAGGTTCTCTATAGTCTCCATCATGTCCTCACGGGTAGGGGTGCGGGGCGTGTAATCTTCCGAGAGTTCAGGCATGGTCCCTTGCCTGATGGGCTCGCATGATGATGCTTCACCAGTGTGGGCTGGACTATTGCTTCCGGACCGGGTACCGGGAACCTGTCCGGTGCTGGGGCGGTGACTGTCTATCGACCCTCTATTCGGTCCTAGCCCGTAAGGCGTCCTACGGGTTTCCTATCCGCGTCCGCGTCCGCGTCTGCGTCTGATAGCCCTGGTGTGAATGGTGCGAACCATGTCTCCTACAATCAAAAAGGAATACTAAGTCGAGTAGTGACGTAGGATCAAACTTAATCGCATGCTAAGCAACGCCGATACAAAATGAACATGTGCTTCTAATAATCCTTTCAGTTTAAGCTTAGGCTAAGTAAATCTTAACCTATTTACCTTAAACTAAAGCTCTAACAATTTTCTCAGTTTAAGCTTAAGTTAAGCAAGTTTTAGCGTAATTACCTTAAACTAAGGCTGTGAAACATTTCCTTAATAAATACACCAAAAGACTATTACAGCGAAAGTCTTTGAATGATCAAAATCTAACTTAAGTTCTAACCCACCTTCTCTTGGGGTTAAGTTACAAAAGATCATTCCAGCGCATCTTAGCCAAAAGACTAACATGAGATGATAATGAGCAACTCTCTAAGCATGTCCCTTGCCTTTATCCGTCCTCGAACTACCTGGGCCTGAGATGCATACTATAGTCAGCTTATAAAGCTCAGTGAGTTCAAGGTTTTCGTGTATAAAATCATTGTACGTCATACATTTCAACTTGTAAACTTGGTACCACGTAGCATGCAATTTCTGAAAACATGCAACACTGAAAGAAATGAGATGTCATAAATTATCTGTTTGGAATGGGTCATTTAGTCACAAACACACCCTGGGTTGATACTTCATTCTCGATTGATTACCCACTTGTCCGGGTAGTGTTTCATACTGGTCGTSACTTATTAGTCACCAACACGCCCTGGGTATCAAAATCTTAACTTATCACCCACTTGTCCGGGTAGTGTTTTATACTGGTCGTGACTCACTGGTCAAATACCCACCCTTAAATCATCAAACTTTGGTATGGAAAAACATGCTAGAGTTTTCGAAAACTGATTAAACACATAGCATGCAACT